GACAGACAGACAGAGACAGACATAGACAGACATAGACAGACAGAGAGAGACAGACATAGACAGACAGACAGACAGACAGACAGACAGACAGACAGAGACAGACAGACAGACAGACAGAGGCAGACAGACAGACAGACAGACAGACAGAGAGAGACAGACAGACAGACAGAGACAGACAGACAGACAGAGACAGACGGACAGAAACAGATAGACAGACAGACAGACACAGACAGACAGAGACGGAGAGAGACAGTTTCAGACAGAGACATCGACACCTGCATTCAGAGAGAGCGGCACCGGAGCTCGTGCTACCAAGATCCTGACGCATTTCCTTTTGAAAGTGTCTTGCATGCCTGTCTCGCGGCAGTGAAATGTCGGCACTCAAATCCTGATGCGCGCTTCCTCTTGCAAGCCTCTTGCGTGCTTTTCGAGCGGCCCCAAAATCGGATGCCTTTCCTCTTCAGAGCCTCTTTTTTGGGACATGCTCCCGGTACCAAAACTTCGGGAATGTTATTACCGCGAGCATGTCCCAAAAATTTCGGAAATTTTATGACCGCGAGCATGCCTATCGAAAATTTCGGGAATTTGATTACCGGGAGCTTGTCCCCTTCGAGCTACCAAAATTTCCGAAATGTTAATACCGCGAGATCTCCTAAAGCTACCAAAATTTCGGAAATTTTAGTACTTGTAGCGGGAAAGAAGTGCTCCCAGTACTAAAATTTCCGAAATTTTTTAGTAGCGCGAGACAAGCACGCAAGAGGCTTTCAAAAGGAAACGCGCCGAAGGACGAGGTTCCAGGGGCCAGGAGCGCGCACAAAAAAAAGGAGGCGACCAGCACGACACCGTTTTATTAGAGAATAGATATATATATATACATACATACATACATACAATCATCTTTTTGCGTATCAGGTCCCATCGTTGTCGTCGCTTGCCATGATTTCGCCAGCCTGGCCGTCGAACGAGCTTACCGGGCTGTTGTGGTGGTTTCTTCGGAACGAACCTCTTTACTGGAATCATGGCAGCTTGACCATCGAATTAGGGCTGCCTCACTGACTTTGGGCCTAAAGACACGTGTTAATGCTCGATTTCAGAGCCGATGCGCATCTGAAGACTCCCGAGGGCCAAGCAAGTTGACGAGGATAAACTCGGATGCCTGGCAAGAATGTGGATGGGTCACTAGGGGCAACCTGGCCAAGTGAGTCCTGCAGTTCGATCGCACTCCATCGTCTCTCCGGCTTCTTGCACCTGCCGCGCTGCGTACCCGCTGGAAAAGGGTGAATCGGATTCAGAGTTACCAGAGTCATGACAATTCACGGCGGCAACACAGTTGAACCTCGACGAATTGACAAAGCCTGGCAAGATTTCGGAGAGCTGCCACCACGCAGAAGCAAAGCAGGCCATGGCCCATGGTATGGCAGGGTGGCTCTCTCGAGAAACGGCCCGCGGAGAGGCGAGGCTCGGGCCTGCGCAATGTGGCTTCTCAAATGACCCAACACCGCCAAAACAGGAGACACAAGAGGCCTGTGGCACACGTTGTGCAAGAGAAGTAAAAATGGCTCAACGCTCCCATAAGGATACACACCTGCCGGGCAAATCTGGCGTTCACGACGAGGATGCTGCAGCGCAGTAGCTGAGGTGGGCTCCACATGCAAGCTCGTAGACGCACAGACCCAAGCTCCAAATGTCAGCAGCGAAGCTGTAGTCCTGGGACGTCGGATCGATCCACATTTCTGAATCGGGCCTTCAGCATGCATTCGTGTTGGCTGTTCTCCTGGACCTTTGAACCTTGTCTGTGAGCGTGATCTGCAATGCAAGCCCGCAACTAGTGTCAGAAGCCACTCGCAGGAAACTGTGTGCCTTCGGCTTTTGTTCGATTCTATACGTGAAACCAGCACAATTTGAGGACATGAAGAGTTTGCCGAAAACAAGACAAGCGCTCTACAAGCATGCGAGCACACTACAGAGCCTACCATTTCGCCCATCCTTCCCCTCGATGCGCTCTGGAGACATGTGGGTGGCGGTGCCCACGAAGGTGTCACAGACCTTGCTTTCTGCGACGGGTCTGGCATAGCAGCAGGATCCGACCAGCTGAGCCCCGCAAGTGGCCCTGGCTGTCAACGCGTGTCCGAGATTTTTGGAGATTCCGAAGTCTGTGACCTGCGGCACAGCAAGCCAAAAACAAATCAAAACTGCCGATAGCTTCGAGAACCCGCACCTTGACAGATCCACGGGAGTTGATGAGGACATTGCCAAGCTTCACATCTCTGTGCACAACGTTGTTGAGGTGCAAGATTTTCAGACCCTGCCAACAGGTGACTCAGTCCCTATGAATCAGTTGCCGAGCTGCTCAACCCCCGCATGCTCGCATATACATACACATGCACCACACATACATATATACATACTTACATACATCCATTCAGACATTTCATTCCATTCCATGCCATTCCCTTCCATTAAATTATACTACATTACATTTCATTACATTACATTACAGTACATTACATACACGCATGCATGTATGCTGCATACATACTTAGGTGGAGCACACCACTAACTTAACTGTACCTACCCCTACAATATTGTAGCCTCATGTACGGTAAGTATAGCTACAGCAGATATGTGCACCGACGCACATGCACATTCACACATAGAGATCAAGTAAATACCTGTCCATGCACAGGTCAGACAGTCAGACATTTGTATGAAGAGAGACACCCGCGTGCATGTACATATGTATGTACACATTTATTGCCATGCATTTCCGGACACACACACACGGTACATAACTGTCTGTATATACATTTAGCCATATATTTACTTACGTATAAATGTAACCAAGGCTTGCAGATAATATGAAAAGCGTCAACCAGTCGTAGTCGGGAACTGCCTGGATTCCCGCGTTCAAGGTCCTACAGATGCTTAACATAATGTTGCAACCTGTGTACATGTCCACTATCCCCAAAGGAATTCAAACAATCTCAACCTGTGTCTTAGATGATGAAACTGCTATGTTCGTATATGAAACTGAAAGGCGTACTTGGCTAATCAGAAAGAATCACTGAAACCGATTCGAAAGTCGGATTTGGATAAGGCACAAAAGAGGCATTCAGATGAACGCCGACACAAACACGCTTGAGCCATGCATGCCAACAGGAACTTGAATTGATGTACTCAAGTTTCCAAGGCTCTGAAGGTTCTGGCATACGCAAAGTAGAAGAATCCTTCAAAAGAGTTCAGGCTCGCCAAACGGAGGGAATGTATGTATGTATGTATGTATGTATGTATGTATTATGAAACTGTGCTATCGTACCCAATACATGTGCTGCGCAAGTATGTTTTACCAGAATTAAATCGCAGTGCGTGAAACGGCCATGCCTCCAGGATCTGCATCAGAATAAGAGCCTTGTGGACTCAGCACTCAACAAGCTAGCAATTGAAAACACAAGCCCCAGACGAGGAGATTTTCAGGAACTTCTTTGACACGTCGCTTCAGATCGGCCAAGCTTCCATAATCCTCGGGTGCTGCCATTTCCATGCATGTCTGGCATGTTGTCCAGGAATGCTTGGCAGCATGAAAGCAGGTAAGTTATGCACCATGTACTCAAGGGCCACGTGCACGCAGCCAGACTCCTCTCAACATTGCACATTATCAGTTTTGTCAGCTGCAGATCACAACCCAGGAATCTATAAATGCGTCGGGTCCTTGTGTACGTACCTCATCACGGAGAAGACCGAAAACGAGGGGAGGTATTTCAGGAATCCCATGCGACAGCAGAACCTAAAGGCTTTCTCTGGGCGTGGAGTGTTGGAGCGTGCATATGGCCAGGCTCTCTGGTGCAAGCATGGTTTTTTTGTCTGTTTTGGTGTTGCTTGTGCTGTTTCCGTTTCGACTTTTCGCTTGATAGCTGGTCGCTTGCAACAGTCACAGCCATGCGGCTCATGTGGCTGCTTCCGGAGCTGCAGCTGGGTGTTTGCTGTGTGTCGCTATAGAGACTTATGATGACGCTTTACCATATAGACGAGGATGTGGCGCACCGTGCACATGTCACTCACGAACGAAGGAGATGTATGTGTGTATATGTTTTTGTAAAGTTAGACAGACAGAGAGAGAGAGAGAGAGAGAGAGAGAGAAAGCGAGAGAGAGAAAGCGAGAGAGAGAGAGAGAGAGAGAGAGAGTCAGAGAGAGAGAGAGACATAGTCATATGTATATATATTTTTTTTCTTTGTATTTATGTTTATATATGTGTATATCTATCAATCTACAGATCTGTCTGTCTGTCTGTCTGTCTATCTATCTAGCAGGTATGTGCATAGGGCATAGGGATGACGCATTGCTTGACCTCCAGCCCTGGTGTCCCGCGCAAGAAGTTTTTGATGGAGCTGGGGATGGATGAAAATCTCTCATGGTAGCTTCCAGCTGGACTTACTTTCGTCCTCGTCTTTGCTGCACAATCGACTTACGAAACCCCAAACAACGTTTTGTAGCTCAAGCTTCTGCACTGTAAACCGCCACCGAAAGGGGTTCATCGCTGCGCTAAAGATCGCGCCATTACGTTGCAGATCTGGTACACGGAACTGCTACCGGCAAGAACACTGCTTCGTTTGTCCTGCCCCTGCCCGTGTCTTGCGTGTTGATTCGTCGTGCAGAGAACTGCTTCTTAGACAGTGCACGTAGAAGGTGTACGGCTCTGCTCACCGTTTTATAAGATATTGAAGATAAACAAATAAATAAATAAACATATATATATATATTTATATGGTCACACCCCCAAGATCTACACTGGCAGGGTTCATACCTTCTCATGCTTTTTTGCACATATGTGTACACTAGTCATAAGTACAGAAACCACCGTAAATGTCGGTGCATTTCGCTGTTGTCCTCGAATGCAGACAACCTTGCTGCTACGCATCTTGTTTCGACATATCGATAAATGTGCAGCTGAATTTCGGCCAACAAATATAACACTTCATGTATTCGGAAAGCCGAATCTGTCGGAAGGTATGCGCGTCATGTGCTGTGGTACTCGAAAACCTCGTGTTTTTTTGCATTTTTCGGTCGTGAAAGAACTGTAACTGTACATCACGGGCACTGTGTATTTCATTCGGCGATTGCAGGCTGCGCTCGCACATGCTCGCATGTCACACTGCTACACTGCTACACCTGCCCAAAAACGGTGTGGCTCCTCCTGATGTTCCTTATTTAAATCGTTGTTGATAAGG